GGTCCGACACAATGTGATTCTCATGCTGGCTGGGAGCTCGCGCAGGTCTCAGATGCATCTCGTGGCCCGTGCTGCCGCGCAGGCCCCCGCGCCCTATGGGTCGGGGGTGACAGGCGCCAACGGGCGCGAGCTGAAGGGAGCTCGGTTTCAGCGGGCGCGCGTCCAGAGCCAGCGCCTGCCAGGTGTGTCCACCGCTCTCGTGCTGCAGTTGACTGAGGCCGAGCGTTTACATCCCGCGTGCGATCTTAACGTCTCTCCTCCCCTCGCCTTCGCCCCCCCTCTCTCTGGGGCGGGCGGGCGCCGAGGGGCGTGGCCGAGCAAGGTCTTGCAGGGGCGCGGCAAACATTCCAGGAGCACGGCTCGCCTTGGCAGTGCGTCCGCGGCGCGTTCGTTGCTGCCGTGGCCGCGGCGCTCCGTCTCGACATTCGCGTGGGCGCCTTCTCGGTTGAACAGTTGTGCCCGCGGGCCGTCGAGAAAGCTCTGGACACCGCATTGACAGTTGGTTCTGGGGGAAGGTGGCCAATCGCTTCCAGATGTCCGGTATCCAGCAAGCCTTTATTCTTGCGCCTATTAAGTCCGGCACGTTGAAGTCAAAAGAGCATGGGCGCGCGCGTCATCAGCGTTTTTTTTTTTTTTTTTTTTTTTTTTTTTTTTTTTTTTTTTTTTTTTTTTTTCCAGGACAGGCAGTTCAAGCATGGTGTGTCGCAGGGGCAGGTCTGTCGCGCGTGCCGCGCTGCCCCAGCTGCGCAGGCATCTCAGCTGCGCGGGGCGTCAAGAGATCCTTGGCTTGGGGCAGGAGCCGCCAGCGTGCTCTCAGGTCATGGTACAAGCAGCAGGTAATCCCCGTGTTCGTCTCCTGCGTGAGAGGCTGCTTGCGCCGCTGCCTGCTCGTGTCCCTCCTCGCCCCTCTCCTTCTGAGGAACTGTGGCTTGTCGGGGCCCCTGAGGAGCTCGGGGGTGGCTGTTTTCTTGACGGGGATGCGTTCGACTCTGAGCTTCCGCCCGCCGCTCGCTCGCTCGGCTGGGCCATCGTTCTGTCGCGCAGTGGTCCGGCCCTGCCTCCTGAGCGAGCGACGCGCGCAGTGATTGCAGGGGGGGCCCCAGCAGGTCCGTTCGATATCGGCGCGCGCGAGTTCTGGGCCCTGCTGATGGGCCTCAAGCAGGCCATGCCTCGGGCGACCTTGTGGACGGACCCCAGTTTTGCCTTCCAGGGCGTCTGGGGGAGAGGCCCTCTTTCCTGTTGCTCATCCAGGGCCGCCTGGGCCGATATCTGGAAGCTTGCGCGGCGCGCCATCGAGGGCAGGGGGGCCTCGAGCAGCTCAGCTTTCGTGAAGTCAAAGCACACGCATTGACAGGTCTGATGTACTTGCCTGCGTCAATTCCGCACGCGCAGGTTGGCAATCATTTGGCTGGCGTTTATGCCAAGCAGGCCGCCGAGTTCTGCAGAGTGTCTGAGCAGTTTCCCGCGCGGTTCAAGAGTCAATTGTTGACGCTTCGCGTATCCCCACCAGCCCATCCAGAAACGATGCTCAGGGGAGTTGAGGTGATCAGGGAAGTCGGGGAGCATGCAGAATAACAAAGGGCGGGGGAAGCTGTCACAGACCCCGAGAGGGGGAGGATGGAAGAGGAGTCGTCGTCGTCGTCGTCGTCGGAGGAGGAGGAGGAGGAGGAGGGGGAAGAGGAGGAGGAGGAGGAGGAGGAGGAGGACGGAGAAGGAGGAAGAATCGGAGGAGGAGGAGGAGGAGGGGAAGGAGCTTCTTGGGGGTCTTTTGAGGGCCTCTTGGAGGGCTTTTTGGGCGCCTTGGGGCATCTTGGGCGCCTCTTGGGACCCTCTTGAGGCGCTCTGGGGAGCCTTCGGGGCGCTTTTGGGGCCATCTTGGAGGGAGTCGATCAAACAAGAGGGGGGGTTTAATTAGCGTCCCCCCTCGGAAGCCCCTAAAATCGCCTCTTGGACCCCTCTTGGAACGCTCTTGGAGTGCTCTTGGGCGCTCTTGGGGCCGTCTTGGGGCTCTTTTGGGGCTCTCTTGGGGCCCTCTTGGGCCATCTTGGAGCCATCTCCAGGCCTCGGATGGCCATCGGAAGCGAAAAGGCGAGAAAGCAAAAATCATTGATTTTCCTTAGGTTTTGGGACGATTTTGGCCTCTTCGGGGCCTCCTTGGGGAGCTGTTTGGCCACTTGGAGTTATCTTGGGGCCGTCTTTGGGCTTCTTGGAACCATCTTAGGAGCCATCGTGAGCGATCTTGCGCTATCTTGAGCCATCTTGGAGCTCATCTTGGGTTCTCTGAGGCGCTCTTGGAGCCGTCTTGGGCCATCTTGGACGCTCTAACTACCCGCGGCCCCCCCCGTCCAGGTCCAGGGGAGGGGGTAGGGGGAGGGGTAAACCCCTCCCCAAGGGGGAAGAGGGAGGGGTGGAAGAGGATCTGCTCTAGACCACCTACGCCCAGAGGGCTGGTGGGATTTAAAGCTGTGTTCGCTTGCAAGATGGGTCGGGCTGCGTGGGTCGCCGATGGCCGACCTAGACTGCGAACGCGTCCCTACCCCCAGGCGTGTCAAGAAGGTGCGCGATGTTGTGCCACCGTTGCAAGTAATTCATCCTCTCCCCGTGCTCTCGTCGGCTGGAAGTCGGGCTGATGTTGCGATCGCGGTATTGCAGAGAGTGTCACGCCATCCGCCGTGCCTATCCTTCCGCTTTCGCGGGGGGAAGGCGGGGGGTGGTCTGTGCCCTGTGTGGGGCGGGCGGGGTCACTATCTCCAACCTGTTCAGGGAGCCGTGTCTGCCCGCCCCTTCTGTTTGGGGCAGTCGTGCTTTGCGAGGCCTGGCCGAGGGCAGGTACAAGCAGGGCAGCGAGTGGATCTTCCTCATTGAACCCTGGCACCCTGGCGATTTAGAGAGAGGCGGCCGCTCACGGAGAGAGCACCCTGTCGCTGGCCCTCCGACTGGATGTCGCCCCCAGTCAGAGGTGGCAAAAATGTCGTCTTGATGGGTGCTCTTCCGTGGTTTTCGCTGTGAAGGGCTCTCGTGGGGACCTCACGAGCGCCTACTGCGTGCACGGGAGGATGAGGATGATGATGATGATGATGAGGAGGAGGAGGAGGAGGAAGAGGAGGACGAGGAGGAGGAGGAGGCGGAGGAGGAGGAGAAGGGGGAGGAAGAGGAGGACAAGGAGGAGGAAGAGGAGGAGGAGGAGGAGGAGGAGGAGGAGGACGAGGAGGAGGAGGAGGGCGGACAAGAGCGGGCTGCGTGCCGCCGGTTCTTGCCCCTGCGCTGGGCAGTTGCCTCTCGATGCCCAGCGGCCATCATTGCCCCAGGGGAAACGCGAGATTTGCACGGGTTTGGGTCGATCCTGTTAGATCGGGCCTGTCTTTCTACAGGAGGGATATTCGAAAATGGTTAGAACATAGTTTGGGGACGACTTTCTGTTTAGAGCTAGTTTTGAATATTTTTGGAGTATGTATTATTTTTCGTCAAGAATTCGCCTGTAGGGGGACATGCCCGACCAAATCCCGGACCCCGCGTTGAACGCAACCGCCAGCTTTCGCGCCGATGACCGCTGGAAACTGCCAACGATTTCCGGAGACCGTCCGAAGATTGCCGAAGGCCGGCGAGAATTCGGCACGAACGACATGGGTACGGAAAGGACGGGTACAATGCCCAACAGCAGTTCTTGTTCATTTTGAACAGGACTCGCTGTCGGTGTCGTCGCGGCCTGTGTGTCCATTTGGGACAGAAAGCCGCCTGCCCAACAGCGGCCGCTGTTGGTTTGGGACAACATTTGTTTTTGGGCATTGTACCCATTCTTTCCGTACCCATTTCGGGCGTCCAAAAAATCGTCCGAGCACCGCCTAAGACGGCACAGGTGCGATGGGCGATGGGTAACACGGGGTCTATGGTCCGAACACGTAACGCCGTCTGCCTGCAACCAGCTCGCTGGAAACAGATTTTCTTGCAGTCCCCAGCGTGCCAAAGCAGCGATGTGTCATAACAGGCGCTTGCTTTCAGAGTTTTGCCGTTTGGTTCTTGCACCGAAGTAGGCCGCGGCATGTGCGGAGCAGGCGCGACGGATCGGAGGCCAAAGCATGAAGTAGGATAGGACAACATAGAATTGAAATTTCATCGGTCCATTCTCACCCCTGTGCCCCCCCCTTTGGTTTACGACCAGCCGAGCGAGCCCGAGGAAAGCATCCGCGGGTGCTGCATTGGCCACTTGGGCAGGGTCCATGTTCGATCCGATCAGTTCGATGCCGATCTCCCGTCTGGCCCGACCCGATGCGGTTCTCATATCACGACGATCCGATAAGGCCCGACGTCTGCACGGTGCTGTCGCGCATGTTGGCGCAGCCGACTCGATTCGATTTGAATTTCTTGCCGAGGCAGATTCCAGTTCGATTTGACTTCTCGATCCGATGCAGACTGGTGCTGCCTTGAGCCTGCCTGCGCCCCACGGGCTTCCAGACCAGAGCGAAGAGCCAGAGTGCCCCGATGGGGCGGCGATCTGCGAAGGCGGGGAGGGGTTTCTACGAAGGCCAGTGGCTGTTTGGAAGCCCTCCCGGCCTCAAAGAAGGGCCGTCAGATTCGCTGTGGGGGGAGCGGATCTTGAGGGAAAGGGGTCCTGAGATGTTTCGCTGTTTTCGGGCCCTTGGGGCCCTCCACGGTCCCCCGGGACTGTCAGAAAACAACTCAGGATGAAGGATTTGTCCTGGGGGAGGGGAGGCACCAGGGTCCAGGACCCGTTTCGACGAGGTCAGTGGAAAGGGGGTCAGCCAGAGCGCCAGATTTTGCAGTATCCTGCAGAGCCAGGGGCGCATTGACCCAGATTAGGGCGCAAGCTCCTGCAGGATCCTGCAGGATTTGGCAGGATCTTGCAAAGTTTGAGTGAACCGGGTTTGCATTGAACTGGGTCAGTACAAGTGCCCGATTAGAGACATCCTTCTAAGAAGCATCCCGCCATCTAAGCATACCGCCCACCCTGCCAGATAGCCTTGCGCGCGCCGCCAAACCTCGCCCTGGGCCTCTTGGGCCTCAAAACTCGAGCGAAGAGCCTCGATGGTCATTTGGGGTCGAGCCACTTTGAGTCAAGCTGTTTAGCTTAAGGTTCTGGCTGAAGCACACGCCGATCGTCCCAGCCTCGGCTCGGCCGACGCGCCCGGCAGGGCCAATGGCGGCCGCGCCCGCGGCCTTGATGGAGCGCCCGGAGCACCCGTCTCCCGCCGCGAGCGGCCAGCGAGCGTGCGCGCCCGGAGCGGCGCAGGGCGCGGCGCTGCCGCCTTCAGTGCTCGGAGGCCTGGGCAGCTGGAGGGCGGTCGTGAGGAACACCTTCCTGCACTTCCAGGAGGCCGCCGAGGAGGACATGGCCCTCCGGAGCCTGCGCGCTTCGTCGTCGGCGCCTGCGCTGCTGACCCCGTGGGTGGGCCTGGAGGTGCCGATCGGCGAGCCGCCGCCGCCGAGTGGCGCCGAGCGGCGCACCACCGTGATGTTCCGCAACGTGCCCTACTTGCTCACGCGAGACATGTTCGTGGAGCTGCTGAACTCGCAGGGCTTCCGAGGGCAGTTTGACCTGGTGTACTTGCCGATAGACTTCAAGACGAACCAGACGCGTGGCTACGCGTTTGTAAACGCGTTAAGCACTGAGGTTGCCAGTCGCCTCTTCGGCGCGTTCGAGGGTTTCCAGGCGTGGCCCAAGAGGAGCTCGAAGGTCTGCAGCTTGTGTTGGAGCACCCGGCAGGGCCTCGACAGAAACGTCCAAGCCTACCGCAACCTCGAGGTCATGCAGGCGAACTACCCCGACGCCTGGAAGCCGGCCTTGTTCTCGGAGTGTAGCCCAGTGCCCTTCCCCGAGCCCACGCGGAAGATCACGCGCAACTCGAAGAATCTGTGCGGCGGTGGCGGTGCTCCGCGGATCTGAGAGGTGCGCAGCGGATGTGGACTTGCAACAGCGCGACCTAGGTCTGGCCCGATGGTGGAGGTTGTGGTGATAGGGGTCGGACGGTAGTTACGGAGATTGGGGGAGGGGGGGGGAAGGGCAGGCGTTTCCGGTCGAAAGTGGTTCCAGCACGCCTGCATTGAGTGAGCAGCGCCATGACCAAGTTTTCCAATGCCAGCGTCCTTGTTGTCTATCGCGTCTCAGTTTCTTTCCTCCTCATCGTCCTCTTCTCTGTGGGCCGCTGTGCGAATCTGCCGCGCGCGAGCCTGCTGACTCAAGGGCACCTGCCCCTGCATGTACAACTTGTCGCTTAAGTTTTTCAACCTGCCTCTGAGGGTATTTTGGTGGGGCTGGCAGCCCCTCTGCACCCAGCACCCGCACATGGCCTGCCAGCAGCGGCCCAGCCTTCGTTCGGCGACGCCGCCAACCACGGCCCAGTGGTCGCAGACGCCTCGCAGCGCACGCAGGCGCCACCCAGCCGGGGCCTTGCGCGGCGGCGTGGAGCTGCCAGGCCTGCCCCGCGGACAGGGCGGCGCAGCGGGCACTGCCGCCGTCGCCGCGCGCGCCCCGCGGCGGCGCGCCTGGCTGCGCGCCGAGCACGCCCCGCCAGCCGCGGCTCCGGCGCGGTGGTCTGCGGGCCCGAGGCGCCACGGCTGCGCTACTGTGGATGTTGTAACGTTTTTCAGAAGGTGAAAAGGGTTGCGGAGGTAATGGTGCGCGCCGATTGCGTTTCGCACGGCGTGTTTGGCAGTGATTGCACGCTGCTGGACTTCGGCTGTATTTTGTTTTTTGTTGGCAGGAGGTACAGGAAAACAGGGAGAGCAACACGAACAACAAAACGAAACACAACGTTTAGGTCCGGCCTGGCGCTGCATCCGCTCAGGCAGCGAGGTGCCTACGAGTTTAATCATCCTTTGCGCAACTGGTGCTTGGCGTCATCCCTCTCCAGCCCTGCCGGCGCTCACTGGTCGGGACCAAAGAGGCTGCCACAAGTTGCCCGCTGGGTCTCTGCTGCCCGAGGGCACGGAAATATTGACAGTAGCAAGTGGCACTGGCAATTCCGAGAAGCCGTTTTGCACGATTTCATTTTCACGCCCAGCCGCAGCCTCCGCCCGCAGGGAGCGGTCTCCCTTGGGCTCGCGGACGCGGAGCTGCTGTGGCGGCCGCAGCAAGCACGCCTCGAAATGCTGGGGCGCGATGCCTCGGCTCTGACGTATGGGGTGCGCCACTTCACGCCCGCTAGGCCCCGACTTCCCCCTGTTCGCCGCCGCGATCACGAGGGGGGGTTCGCCCGAGGGCGGGCAAAGGGCCGAATGGCGCCACCGCTAGCCTGGAGCGTGGACAACAAGGCAGCGAGAGCTCTCAGAGCCATTCACTGTTCCTTCCAACGGCTTCGTCGGTTTCACACCGCGCCGGGGCTCATTAGCAGCCTGGAACATATCCCTGACCCTAAGAAAGGCATCTCCTGATTCATGTGCAGATCTGAGGGAACATCATTGAGGTTGTCATCGCTTTTGGCTTGCCCACGTTAGAGATAGGGATAAGTTCGAGTCTGGTTAGCGTTGCCAGAATACCCGCATGGATCTTTGTGAGGTGGGCTCGAGGGCCAGCCACTTGCCCTGGGCTCAGGCCTCATCATTATGTTGTTTAATTCGAGGGTAGAGCTCTCCTGCATTTTTCACGCCGTATCCGTCGAGACCGAGGCGTCTTACCAAAGCGCAAAGAGAGGCTGGAGCCAGGAGCCAGGGACAGGATTATGGACAGGGACGCCTCTGCATCGCCTGAAGGTGGTCAGAGGAGATTCCGAATACCGAGTTTACTACCACGGAGGGGGGGAGGCGGAGGATCAGATTGAACCCAATATGTACCAACGATGCAGTCAAACCGTAAAGTAAGGATAGTCGGCTTCCCAAGGGTACCCTAGCATCCTTGCCTCTTCGGTCATCTTCGGTCCACCCTCAACCACTCTCGACGGCCAATCCCGTTCGAAGAGCCCCGTCATGGGCGTCCAAGGCCCTTGCATCCTCACCGCGAATCCTTGCTAGATGGGTTGACTGTACAGCATCACACCTCCTCCTCCTCCTCCTCCTCCTCCTCCTCCTCCTCCTCCTCCTCCTCCTCCTCCCCCCCCTCCTCCCCCTCCTCCTCCTCCTCCTCCCCCTCCTCCTCCTCGTCCTCCTCCGTCCAGGGCGCCCCCCTCTGCCTCCCTGCGCAGGGCACCCCGTGGGCCCGCGCCCGCGTGCGGGACAGCTTGGCTCAGACAGAGACACCGCCAGGCACCCCTCGGCGCTGTAAGACAGGCGACGGGGTCGGGCTGCTAATTCAGGTCGAGAAAGAAAAAGCTGCGTAGACATAAACTTTTGGCGCTCCGCGCGGATCTCGTGGATCGCCCGCCCATGGCGCGGTCCGCGCGCCAGGGAGGGGGGGGGGGGTCCAGCGCAGATCCAGGAAATCCGCGCGGAGCGCCAAGATTTATGTATATGTCGTGCTTTCTTTCTGTATCAAAGGGCACGCTCAGCGCCAGAGCCAGCTTTGCACAGGAACCACGCTCCATCCGTGTAGCTGTTTCACATGGGCAATGTTTTTGTGGATCATCCGGCACAGCTTCAGGCGGCTGCCGTCTCTGATCGAGCAGGATCCGCCCTCCGTCCGAGTAGCCGTTGCACAAGCTTGCACTTATGTTAGTATTTGTTGAGGAGGTCTTGTGCGATAACCATCTTTTGAAGAGGAACTGTGTATTCTTGTACGGTAGCATCCACCTGTGTAGTTGCTGGAAGTGTTAAAGTCCTAGGTGCGCAGCGCCAAGGCGAGATCCGCATTATGACAACCACATGCGTTCTATCCGTTCAGTTGTGTGTGGTGGTGCGGCACGGAGGGGGTATTCACAGGAGGACGAAGGCGGGAGGAGGAGCGGCGACGGAAGAAGAGCGATGCCACAGGTGAGGAGGAGGAGGAGAAGGAGGAGGAGGAGGAGGTGTTAACATGTAAGCATTCAGGTGACTGGGGAGGGAAGGTGCCCCCGTTACCTTTGGCTCAAGTGTTTAACGGCTGAAGCTACCGAGACTCGCTTCGCCGTGCGGAAGTAAAAAGGTGACCGATCGTCATCGCTGTCACCGAGCTCCCGTGCAGAACCCTCCTCGGGGTTTTGCATGGTAGCGGAGCGCGGTTGCCATGGCGGCGGCGGCCGCTGCAGCTAGGCCCGCGCAGGGCGACCCGCCGGTCAACCTTAATGTGCCGGCGGACAGAGATGCATGGGTCAACATGGACCCTAACCGCTTCAACGACCTGTGCGAGCAGGCGTACCTGAACGGGGACTTCAGTTACGTTCAGACGGCGTTACTGGCAAATCATTATGGACTTGCGACGTTCATTAACGAGCGAGTAACACAGGACCGAAGGGAAGTATCAAACGCTGAGGCATTTCAAATGTTACAGAGCGCTCATAAGACCAACAGCATGTTGTTAGCGATAACGAAGAGAAGCGCTGCGCTTGAAAGAGATGCTCGCAGGTTGGTAGAAAGAGTTACCGAGTTGGAGACCAACAGCGAAGTACAAGAGAAGTTAATTGAAACATTTGGTCAACTTTCGGAAGCAATCAAAGGCGGGGGCGGAAGTAAGCACGGGAGCGGTCAACCGATAAGCGAGTACAAAGCATTGCAGGCGTTAAAGAACTTCAGTGGAGAAATAGCAACGTTCAGAGACTGGAGCGACAAGTTCTTGAACGCGGTTGCCCAAGTAAAGCCGAGTTACCGACCGTCACTAAAAATGTTGAACAAGAAGTTGGAGACACTCGACGGAGTTGTCCCAGAGGAAGATGATGATGATATCATACGCATAATGAACGGTCGGTTAACAGCAAGCGAATACTTAAAGGCAAACCAAGCTAAACAAGCAGAGGATGACAACAAAGGAGATTATGAGTTTACCGAGGGAGACAAAACTCAAATGGAGGAAGACTTATGGTACATCCTTAACGAAAAGCTTGAAGGTGCAGAAGCAAGGGGAAAATTAAAGGGACTCATGGATGGTGACGGAATTATGGCTTGGCAAAAGGTTTACAAATTGCACTCGGCTGTTACCGGAGCGACCCTTTCCTCAAAGATGACGCGCGCTATGAACCTTGAGCCGCCCAAGAAATTACCGACACCGTTGCCCGACTTGAGGAGTGGAGCGCGTTAGCGGAGAATCTTGAAAAGTATGGCAAGGATTACTCACTGCCCCTCCCCTTTAAGGTTACCGCGCTCAGGGCAATAATGGTGCATGCGAATGATTGGTTTGACGAGTGGCAGCAGGCGTGTTGGCGGACGCCCGACGCACTTAACATTGACTCGTTCCAGGAGTTATACTCCAAGTGTGAAGATTGGGCGCGTAAAAAGAAACTCGACTCAGACACTAAGAATAAAGATGCGATGGGCATTGGAAATATTAACGAGACGAGTCAAGGGTCCGAAAATGTCTGGGATCAGGCAGGATGGGTTGACGAAGATGGAAATTGGTGGCCAGAGGACGGATCTTGGAGTTACGGGTCCTGGGCTAATGAAAGCGACGCTGGAGATCATGAAGAAGTCGACGCCGTAAACAAGGGTAAAGGCAAAGGCTCAGGCCCCAAATGTTGCAATTGCGGAGACATGGGTCATTTAGCCAGGAACTGCACAAAGCCTAAACAGATCACGAAAGGAGGCAAAGGTGGCAAAGGCGGCAAAGGCAAAGGTTACCGGGCCACCTATGGATCCTACATGAAAGGTAAGATTGGAGGCAAACACGGTGGTACAGGTGGCGGCTCGTAGGGTGGAAGTTACGGTGACCAAGGAAGATTTACCCCCCGCAGCGAGCGTGAGTGCTACAAGTGTGGAGCTAAAGGGCACATTGCCGTTAACTGCCCAGGTCCCAAGAAGACAGCCAACGAAGTTGAGCAAGAGAGACCAACGGTAAACGCGGAAAGTGAACAAACCACCTCGTTTGGCCAACCGCAGCATGTGCTCAGTGTTGAGATGAATGATGAAGTGAACGTGCCACAGGAGCAGCCCACAGCTGAGGAGATTAACGGACAATGGGCACTGC